TAACTAGCAGCTGCCTCCAGATTCCTACCATCCAGTCTGTCTTGGTTCCTGGGTAGGGCAAATAGCTAATGTGCTCAGTTGCTAACTGAAAGGGTTAGAGATTCGAGTCTACCCAGAGGCTCCTCAGAAGAAAGGCCTGGTGTCCTTGGAAGGAAAGCCTGGTGATCTACTTCTGAAAAATCAGCCATTGAAAATGCTATGGAGCACAGTTCTACTCCCAATCTAATTTTTTTTTCCCCAAACTGAGACTTACAGTTCCATTAAATGGGAACTCTGTCCTGCTAATGCCACCCCCATCCCCATAGTCTTCAAAGTAGGGTGTACAAGATAATGTACTGGTGTACAAGAAGGAAATATTTGTAAAGTGTTTAGAAAGTATTTAATTATAGCAAAAATAATTATTTAAGTTTTACTAACGCTAGAGCCCTGGTGGTGCAGTGGTTAAGAGCTTGGCTGCTAACCAAAAGGTCAGCAGTTCAAATCCACCAGCCGCTCCTTAGAAAACCTATGGGGCAGTTCTACTCTGTCCTGTAGGGTTGCTATGAGTTAGAATCAACTCAACAACAACTGGTTGTTTTTACTAATACTAGTATGTAACATACGACTGACCTAACACTCTCACTAGATCACTATGTCAGAAGTCATCTGTCATATACAGCAAGTGAGGCATTTCCAGGAGCCAGTGGGAATGCCACAGTTTGGACATTTGTTTTCTTCATACTGCAACATAATGTATGCCATCCACTGGACAAAAAAAAAAAAAAAAAAAAAAAACCCTGTTAATTGCTACAGACTTTATAATTCTTTGTAATGACAGAGAAAATGACAGTGCAAATCTTTGTTCTGCAGAAATCATTGATTATCTCCTGGGAAAGGCCTAAAACGAGATACTGAATGTAGAAGAGATACATATTTTTATCTTACAATGTTCCATGCTGAGAAATGGCTGTCAAAACTATGCTACCTAGCACTTATTTTCAAAAACAAAAACACACGAAAAACACTTAATCTGTCCCTTCAAGGTGAAGATGACAGTCTATTAACGAGAGAAAGTCACTGCTTTTCTAAAGAAACGCATGCTTTACAGAGAAAGTGTCACGTGCCACGTAACATCCATTCTGGCAACGTCCAACTACGTATACATTCACGGTCCCGTAAGGTTACACAGTAATAGAGTTCAGAAATTCCGATTGGAAAACAGGATATAGCAGACGGAACCAGATGTAGTGAATGCAACAGTTTCCTGAACCCAGTACGTGTATCTTATGTCCCTTGTATACAAAGCAATTGCATTGCCAGGCGTATAATGGTACAGTACACATAAAACCTACATATATCTTGATAGTCATGATAAACATCTATGTTATTGGTTTATGTGTGTACTGTAGTGTACTTTCTGTTATCCCGGGGTTACGAATGTCTGATTTATGTACAACCCGTGCTTACGAACCAACCCCCCTAAAGATGTGGTGAAACCCATGTGAAATTGTTCACTATAGATTAGGAAGTAAACACAAATAAGTCCATGCTTACCTTGCCTACTGGATAATCCGCCCCTGGTTTTAGGTACAAATTGGATTTAAAGACAGATTTAAGAACAGAACTCATTTGCAATCTGAGGGCTGCCTGTATAAAATATGGTGTTCACATAATGTCCAAATTACATAACGTTCTATTTCACAGAACTTATCCTGGACATTAAGTGTCACATGACTGTAGATAACTGGAAGTGATTACAATATTGTGATTTTTTCTTACCAAAAACAATGTTTCACCTATAAGAACTTCTGTCTGCACACTTAAAAATTAGGAAACAGAATTTCCTAATCTTTAAAGTCTTCTAAATGAAGCTTCTTAATGGGCTTCAACCCATTTATTAAAAACATAAAAATGAAAAAGCTTTCAATAATTCAAGAACCGACTGATCTAAGATGTAAATTTGCTAGTTGAATTTCAATTAGAAGCCTTTGCATTGTTGATGAATGGAATTGAAAAAGGAGTAGCATGATTTAATAAATGCAATCAAAGATGCACTTCTTCCATTTGCATCTACTTCTGACAAGTACTTTTCCAGTTCACGACAGCTATTAAGTTTAACTAAAAAGTATGATTTTTTAAAATGTATTTGATCTTTATTCCAACCTTTTAATATTTATACTTTTAGGGCATGTTTTATAAAGTATATAATAAAATATATGTAAATCATTATAAAAAAATAAATACTATAAATATTAAGAGAGCATGATAGAAAAAAATATTTTGCAACCACTAGTCTATCACAGGTCCCTGAGTGGTGCAAACAGTTAAATGCTTGATTATGAAAAGGTTGGCAGTTCGAATGCACCTGGAGGCGCCGCAGAAGAAAGGCCTGGCAATCTGCTTCCAAAAGGTCACAGCCATGAAAACCCTATGGAGTGCAGTTCTACTCTGCAACACATGGCAACTGTTCTGTTTTCTTTTTTTATAGTTTCATCTATAAACACAGAGGAAGTGTCAACATTTGGGAACGTGGCTTTGGAAGGTAGTATGACAAGAGAAGAAACAATAAGGTCAGCAGGAATTTGGACTGTGGTGCTCCAGAGGTGGGGCAGACCACCTATCTTTGGGAGTTCAGGCTTGGAGTTTGGGGGAGATGAGGTGAAGGCAGGCCTTTCTTTTATTTGACAACCTACACCTGGTGTAATGTAGATGCTGCTCCTGGCTCAACTAGTAGGTCCTCAACTGATGTTTATTAGTTTCTTTTTCCTCTTGCTATTTGTAAACCCACCGCTTTTGACACTGCTGGGGTCACACAGAGCCGTCTGTACTGTTTACGGATGTGTGTGGGTAAATATTGTTGTTGTGAGTTGCCATGGAGTCGCCTCTGACTCATGGCGGACCTTATGTGTAACAGGAGAAAATGTTGCTGGGTCCTGCACTGTCTTCATGATCATTGGTATGTTTGAGTCCATTGTGATTACTTTGTCAGTTCATCTCCCTGAGAGTTCCCTTGTTTTTGCTGACCCTTCGCTTTACCAAACATGATGTCCTGTTTCAGCGACAGGTCTTTCCTGATGAGCGTCCAAAGTAAGCTAGCAGAAGTCTCGCCATCCTACATATACATATACTCGCTCCAAGAACAAGCAAGGTGGTGCGGAAAGCAGAGAGTATATGCAAAACACACTGCAGTCTGCGGGGCATTTTTAAATAACATTTATCTAGGCAAGAAGACAAAGTTCACTTCTCAGTCCTAATGAAAAAGTTTCCTTTTAACTTTAATTATTTTTAATCATATAACCCTTGGGAACTTCTGACCAATGTCATGTTACTTTTGGAAACATTTAGAAACAGAGAGGGCGTTGTGAAAATAGAATTGTCTTAATACACAACCCGGTATTAAGATGTCCAATCCAAGCCGAAGTGGAACAATCAATCCAAGCAAAGGGTCTTTCCCCAATGTTGGTGGGTGTTGGACAGGGGGAGGGCCACGGAAACACGGGAAACAGTTAAAAGAGTTCTTGGAATACAGAAAGGAGACTGCGACATTTTTTTTTAACAAACTAAGAGGTGGCGAGGTAAGTAGAGGCGGCGAGAGCCAGGGGTGATGCCGATGAACCCAAAGAGGTAAAACGTGTACACGCGGGGAGGGGGGCCTGCCTGTGGCAGGGCGGCAAAGGGGTTAGACACAAAGGTCGGGGTCGTGAGGGCACGGCAGTAAGGGGGGAAAGCAGCGAGGAAAGGGCAGGAGAGGCGGCGGCGGGAGGCGCGCGGTATCTCGCAGGGTCGGGGCCGGGGTCGCCGGCAGACCCGGCCGGGAAACGCCGGGGATGCGGCTAAGCCGGGGACCAGCTAGGCCGCGCTGAGGGGCAGGGCTGGCGACTGTAGGGCCGCGGAGGGGACCGGCCGGGGAGCGGCGGCGAGGGTCGAAGGGGGAAGGGCGCGTAGGGAAGCCGGGAGAGGGGCCGGCTGTAGCCCCGTCCGCCGCACGGGAGGAAGAGCAGGGCGGTCACCGTCCCCGCCCCAGCCGCGGCTTGAGGGGAAAGGCCGGCGAGCCGGCGGACCCGCGGCGCCGGGAGGAGGAGGAGCCTGCGGCCCCGCCCCCCGCAGGAGCGAAAGAAGGAGAAAGACTCGCAGGGAAGGAGGAGGGAGCCGAGCGCGGGGAGGGGGCGGCCGGCCGGGCCTGC